TGCATTCTAAAAATGTAGATTTGTATTTTTAAAGCCATACAGTATATTTGAAATGTATTTTTTAAAATATTTTTCATATATTTTGTAATAAAAATGCATTTCAGCATCCAGTATATATATATATATATATATATATATATATTGAAATATATTTTTAAATATATTGAATATGGCCAAAATTGTAGCATTTCAAATATATGTCAAATATTTGGGAAGAATATTTTTAAAATATATTTCAAATATATTTTTCTTCCATGTGGGAGGGTTGTAGAACAATGCCCTTGTTCTCATCAACATAGGAATAAGGTACTTTACTTGGGGGATAAGTGAATGTGGGCTAGTATGGTTTTGGGGTGGACACTTGCTCCTATCCCTTTCCTGGCCTGCCAAGCTGCATGCTGAGATAAAGGTTCGGTATAGATTTTTGGGGACCTCACACTTTTTTTTGTATTTTGCCATTTTTTTGTGTGGGGGTCCTCTATCAACATTTAAAACCAGCCCTAAGGTAAGGGTCTGATATAGATGGAAAAAATCCCCGGATTACTTTGTTTACAAACAGACGTAAGCAGCTGATGCAGTAATTTGCCACCAATTTAAATGAAACTTTTTCCTCTTTGTAAATGTCAGTTTTGCTGCAGTAGGTTGTACTTTACAGGCAGAATAAGGAGATTCCATCAGGTATGTTATTTAAAGGAATTTTGTGTTGACCTTAAAGCATTATTAAAATCACTGCTCCCCACCAAATGGACTTTTTTAGGTACATGTTCCTCTGGGCAGTGCCTTGGGCCCCATGCCGTGTGTTTGACAATCCCTTGCTTATTAGCCTAAAAAATGTCCATTCCTGTTTTTTTTAAACATTTGGCCCTTAATGACCTCGGTAGAATTGTGATACAACATCCAAATTTTACTCATGTTCTACTAAACTATCTCAAACCAAACCCAGGCTCGTCCCTACTAATGAGCATTCTCATATTTTTGACTATTATTTTATTCACTCTAGATGATGAGAAAGTTGCAAGAATCCCTTAAAGTTTTATTTGTGTACTTTTATAAACCAATAATATAGACATTTTCCAGATGTAGAGTATATGCTACATATCATGATAACTTGAGCTTTACCAGCTGTGTACAATGTACCTATAGTTCCTATACAGTTGAAGCAACTAATACGTAATCACTTTTGCTTAAGCCTCATTCACACTAGCTGTGGTCTCTAAAGAGTGATTTTAACACGATGGGGGTATTATTCCATGGCCAGGAAGCAAAGCATCGCGGATGTGAAATGTGTGCACCCGATGTAAGCAGGTGCTTTCATTGGGTTTAATGTATTGTGTGTTTTCTGTTTTTTTATGATTTGAATACTGTACTGTGTTGTTCTGTTTTCCCTGCTTGCATCCTTGTGTAACTGCATTTTACAATGTGGGTTAATTGCACTGTTTAGTTATGTTACCCTACTGAGCTGGTAATTCCTGAGAAGTGAGGGTTAACACTGTTGGACAGGTTTTCCCGGGCTGTTTGATAAGTATTGCCCTCTGCTGGGGCAAACATTTAAATAGGAGGGAACCTCCTTCAAAAGTCGATGTTGCTCTATGCATGAGAAGGGAACAGGAGTTGTGTTAGAATGTGATTGCCTCCTTGCTTGAAACCACCCCTTCGCAGGAACTCATTCGGGTTCCTGGGACATTGACTTGTGCTACTCATGTAAGGAATTATGGGGGTTGATTTACTAAAACTGGAGAGTGCAAACTCTAGTGCAGCTCTGCATATAAACCATTTAGCTTCCAGGTTTTTTGTCAAAGCTTAATTGAACAAGTTAGTTGCTGATTGGCTACCTTTCACAGCTGCGCCACATTTTGCACTTTCAGTTTTAGTATGCCAACCCCACTGACTTCAATGACTCAAAAGACTTTCCCTACAAATTAAGGTATGACTACCCTTATTAGCACCAAGGTGCACTCAGAAGGCATTTTGTATAGGGATGATGTGAGAGCTATCAAGCTGTTAGGCTCCATTCACATTAGGGCATTTCAAATCATGGGTGATTCTGCCCGCAATTTGAAAATGTGGTGGGACAATGTGAAAATGCGCAACCATTCATTTCAATGGCACCTGAAAACGTGGGGTGTTTTTGGCACAATTGCGGTGTGAACTTTTCCACGGTATGAACACAGCGCAATAACGCAAACAAGATCGCGGGATGCACAACACCCAAGAATGGTTCCAGAACCTTTTCGGGCCATTTGTTTGCTCGATCGCGGCATGTTCGTCGCATGGAAAAATGTGCAGCGATTGTGGCAAAAACTTCCTGTGTTTTCAGGTGCCATTGAAATGAATGGCACCTCCAAATGCGATTGTGCATTTTCACATTGTCCCACCGCATTTTCAAATCGAGGGCAGAATCGTGGCAATTCCACCCGTGATTTGAAATGCCCTAATGTGAATGGAGCCTTATTGTTTTTTTTATACTTCAACAATTTTAGTAAAGAAACTTTGTTGTTATACATCTCTGCTACTTGGTTGAAGTTACTTAAGGATATAAGTTAAAGGGGTGCATGCTTGCATGGCATATCACAGAACGTGGTTCACACCAGGGGACAATACAATACAGGAGAAGATGCAGTACAAATGTCTGATGCGCAGTCAAGCTAACCTAACAAAAGACTATATTGCTGTTGCTAATGCGACTACATTACTAGTGTCTAGGTACATAACTGCACAAATAATGGCTCCTCCAGGCACACATGCCTTTAACTTATCCATTGATACATGTGCTCCTACTATGGAGGCTCTGGACATTTTAGAGTTAGGTCCACAGTATACAGAGGACCCTTGATGCGGGACTGTGGCTTACACATGTATTTTCAAATGTGTGCAAACAAAACCCTCTGTTTTTAATGCAAACTGTTAGACAGGGCCAGATTGGTTGTTTTGCAGGCTGGCTGGTAAGTATTGCTGGGAAATCCTTTGTTTGTTTGTGATGTCTAGGTACATAAGCAGCAAGGCAGTCGGGAAGTGGAGGCGACTTGGAATATGTGACGAGAGGTCCTGGTCTTGAAGAAGCTGATGTGCTTAGACTCCTCTAGCAAATGGAACCCAAATCTGGGTCCGACTCATAGTATGGGTCATTCTAGAGACCCAGGCTGTATGTCACGGAAGATGGAGTGAGGCCTCCTGGAATTCAAACTTAACATATGGCTCATTGTCACTAGGTTGAGGTGACAGGTAACTGGGCTGGTAGAGTCCGATGCATGCACTGCAGGGAAGAGAGAAGTGTAATAGGAACTGTTATTCATAGTGTACAGAGTATAAAAAGTTCTGTGCCAAGGATTACAAGGAGTTAACCACTTTAAGTCTGCCCTATTGCAGAAATACTGCTACAGGGTGGACTCCCTGCACAAAATCATGTATATATACGTGATCTTGCATTTCTGCGTAGGGGGCGCGCGCAAGCCCTACCCACGCCGCTATTGGCGGCCTCGGCTGTCGATCACCGGGTCCAGGCCGGTGATTCCCCGCTGGCCCCAGGCGATCACTGTGTATCACGGATGGGGGAGAGACCTGTATGTAAACAATACAGATTTCTCTCGTCAGCTCCAGCACACTGCTTTGTATGGCTCTGCATAGCAGAGTCATACAAAGCAGTGTGCTTACACTGTAAAGCACACACACAGCACACAGTAAAACAGCACACAGTTAACCCTTTGATCACCCTAGATGTTAACCCCTTCCTGCCCAGTGTCATTAGTACAGTGTCAGTGCTTTTTATTAGCACTGATCACTATATTGGTGTCACTGGGGATGTCAGTGACACAAATTCAGTTCCCCCCAGTGTCAGAATGCCCGCCACAGTCCCACTATAAGTTGCTGATCTCCGCCATTACTAGTAAAAAAATAAAATTCCAGTATATACTGTATACCGCCATTTGTAAATACTATAACTTTCACGTAAACCAATTAATTTACACGTATTGGGATTTGTTTTAACAAAGACATGTAGCAGAATACATTTTGGCCTACATTTATGACAAAATTTGATGTTTTACATTTTTTACTGGACATGTTTAATAGCAAAAATCAAAAACATTGTTTTTTTTCTTAAAATTGTCGTTTTTTTTTTTTGTTTATAGTGCAAAAAATAAAAAATGCAGAGCCAATCAAATACCACCGAAAGAAAGCTCAATTCGTGGGAAAAAATAACATAAATTTCATTTGGGTGCAACATTGCATGACCGTGCAATTGTCAGTTAAAGTAATGCAGTGCAGTAACACAAAAAAGGGCCTGGTCAGGAAGGGGGGTAAATCCTCTGGAGGGCAAGTGATTAATTAACGATTCGCAGTGCATTTTGCCATTTTGGCATTTTCTACCTGAGAGGAGTGAAGGAGTTAAAAAGCTGGAGAACCTCTGTAGAAGTGATGACAGATTTTGTATTGAAATGCCTAGAGCTTCAATCAAGAGACAGAGTACAGAAGAGATAGTTGGTAACTTCACTCTTGGTGGGACCACACAGTTCTTGCCATTCGAGAGAACCAAAGGCACCCATGGGACTTTGCCTTGTTCAGTGTGTTGACTCTTTGAAGTGCAAGAGAACAGCTGATAGTTAATGAGATGACTGAAATAAAAGATGTCTTATCTTCCCCTCTGACCAGAATAAAGGTGAAACACTAACTCTATAGCTGTTTGTGCTACATTCCCATTGTTACCATTTATAAGTGGGAATACATTTTACAATTGGTCAACAATGGACAGCTTTATAAAGTTAGCTTACATTCAGAGCCCTACCAAATCACAGAGATCTTTTCCACTCATGTCTTATCAGAGAAGTGTTTAACTTTCTGCATGAACAAAGTTGTCCAAATAAACAGATATTTTACGCAGATTCAACATATATTGTAATCTGCTTGTTGTATAACTTTTAAGATATAAGACATTTAACAAACTGTTTTGTGTTATAGAATATAAGTTCCATTGAGCACCAGCTGTGTATGAACGTTTTGTTATGACATACACTATATTGTCAAAAGTATTGGCACACCTCTCCAAATCATTGGATTCAGGTGTTCCAATCACCTCCATGGCCACAGGTGTATAATATCAAGCTCCTAGGTATGAAGATTGCTTCTACAAACATTTGTGAAAGATTGGGTCGCTCTCAGGAGCTCAGTGAATTCAAGCGTGGTACTGTGATAGGTTGCCACCTGTGCAATAAGTCCATCCGTAGAATTTCCTTGCTACTAAATATTCCACGGTCAACTGTTAGTGGTATAACAATGTGGAAGCAACTGGGAACAACAGCAACTCAGCCATGAAGTAGTAGGCCACGTAAAATGACAGAGCGGGGTCAGCGCATGCTGAAGCGCACAGTGCGCAGAAGTCGCCAACTGTTTGCAGAGTCAATAGCTAAAGACCTCCAAACTTCATGTGGCCTTCAGATTAGCATAACAACAGTACATAGAGAGTTTAATGGAAAGGGGTTTCCATGGCCAGCATCTGCATCCAAGCCTTGGAATAAAGTAAAATAAAGTAATCCTCGTGCGTTGCTACAATAAAATAACAATTACATGAACCGTGTGACAAAAATACATATAACAAAGTATATGTGGAGTTGCTGCTTCTCCTGTGTATAATCATATAGTAAAAAGGGGTGCAGCCAGGGGCGGACTGACAACTCATGGGGCCCCCGGGCAATAGGGGATCATGGGGCCCCTGTGTCCTTGCCCAAAGTCAGAAAAGCCTATGAAAAAGGTACCAGGGGCATCTCATGGGGCCCCCTACTGACCCCGGGCCCTCGGGCAGTGCCCAAGTTTCCAAATGGTCAGTCCGCCCCTGGGTGCAGCACAAACAAACTGAGAAATTTCTACTGAGTTGTGGCCATAACCACAGTGCTAAATATAAAATATAACAGAAGTATAATAATTCTCCCAATAAAGTATCTTGTGAAGTGCATATAAACATGACAAGAATCTGAGCAAAACAGCATAGATAATAATAAATATCCTAATAAATATCCTCTCTAGGATAAACAATAGTCTGTGTATTGGGATAATTCCACATGTAGCGAATCACAAACTGCGCCGCTGTGTAACAACACCCTTAAGAAGTGGGCTGCTCACCTTCCAATCAGACCCATATTCTCATACAGATCATACTCGCTAAGTGGAAAAACTTCCTCACACTGGCTCCTGTTCTTCCTCCTCTCCCATCAATGGATGCTGTATAGGTTCTCGTCATCAGCCACAAAAGCTCAAAAGTAGATGATAGAGAAAAGGGGCCACCAATAGTGTAATAATTAAAAGACGTTTTATTGTAATAAAAGAATACCACTCACATAGAGATAAATGAAATCGGATTATCTGTCCTAAGCTGCATTCCAGCTATGCATGGAAGTGACATCACCCGGCTCCACTCTCCAAAGCATTTTGTCACAGAGCCAGAAAAAAAATTACATTTTTTTTTGCAGGGGATGCCTGAAATCTGACTGGTATCTTAGTGCACACTTCAGGGAAAATCAGTGACCCAATCACAAGCAGGAAATGAAGTTTCTGGGGGGTGTTCTGTACATATTTTGTGTACAGAACACCTCCAGGTAGCCATATTGCATTGCATTTACAGAAAATTACAATGGCTACAGATTGAAAAGGAAAGAAAGGTAATTTCCAAAATTGGCCCTAGACATTATTATTATTATTTTATTTTAAGTACCTGTAATAAATAAATAATAACATTCAGTTACAATATGACTTGTGTCACAATTTTATATGCTATATTATTTTTTTTTTATTATTTGTAATTTTTTCCCATGAAAGTGGAGTTATCCTTTAAGTTCTCTCCACTGTTAGCACAAGTCATGTTTTTTCCTCTAGGTGCCCTGAGTGCCTCTTAATCTTAAAAAAAGATTGCTGACCCCCACCCAGGAAAAAAGTAACCATGTTCCTGACTGTGTTTACACAGGGTTGCGCACATTTACAGTATGTACATTTACCTGCATTTAGACTTGTTCAGAACAACTCATTTGCTTCTGGATGCACAGAGTGCTATTTTTCTAAATGCAGCTAAACTGAATGCACCTACATGCAGGTAAAACACAGCATGAAGTATACCATTTAAAATCATTACATGCATTTATATGTGTAGAGAGTTAAGGAACACTCTCAGGAAAGGACTTTCTGTGCTTCAGAGAAGGAGTGGACCCCAAGCTACCACAGCAGGGGCGGACTGACCATTTGGAAACTCAGGCACTGCCCGAGGGCCCGGGGTCAGTATGGGGGCTCCATGAGATGCCCCTGGTACCTTTTTCATAGGCTTTTTTGAGTTTGGGCAAGGACACAGGGGCCCCATGATCCCCTATTGCCTGGGGGCACCAAATGGTCAGTCCGCCCCTGCTTGGTCCAGATCTTAGACACAGCTCACTGGGAACAACCAACATTCCGTGATGATTATCCTTCTTGAAGAAGTTTTCTCCTTTGTTTCAACTGACATCTCTTGTGTTGGAGCCATGATTCATGTCAATCAGCTTGGTGCAGCAGCTCACCAAGGTGTGCAAGCACTCTTTTTTAACAGCAGACTAATTAGCAGATGTAATCTGATGCAGATATTTGTTTTAGAACTGCAAAGTACATGGTGATTCCATAATATTTTCCTCAGAATGGACTGATTCCCTATTTTTTTCCTCTGCTTGATTCGCAAAAACAGTTGCAATTGACTACAGTTTTCTTTCTTTTAATTTTTTTCTTAAAGCCAGAAGGTTGGAATGTTAAATGAAAATAATTTTGAGGCATGCCTGTGATTAGTTTTTTTTCTACACTATTAAACAAGCAAATAAACATTTTCCAAGAGTGGTGATTCCATACTTTTTGCCAGAGGTTGTATTAGGTTAAGTAATGTAATAAAATGCATGGCATGTGTGCCAGACTGCAAAAGTAATTCTACCCTGTAGTATTATATACAGGCCTCCCTTAACCTCCCTGGCGGTATGATTATTTCAGATTTTTGGTGCTGAAAGCGGCACCATTTTTTTGCATGGAAATATGTATTTTTTTTATTGTAGGCTGTAATTTTTAGGAAAAACTCACTGAAATCTGTCCGAACAAGAGTCTAGTAAACATCCCGGGGATGATAAAATTTGAAACACAAAATCATAAATTATAATTTAATAAATAATCATAAAAATAATATAAAAATAATAAAAGATTTAATTCAATAATATAATCAAACCAAAAACACTGAAATGTGAAATAGAGCGCCAAGTTCGCACATTGCTGAGCTCACTCGCAAAATCGTTTTCAGTGTCTGATGACGAATTTCCCCACGAATCATTATCACTCAATTCTGCAAGCGGTTCTGATTTACTATCGCTGTTCTCTAGCTGGTCTAAACCGCTTTTGACCTAAAGGGACACTTTTTGGACGCCATGGACATTTCTCAGTTTCCAGGCAGAAAGAACAGACAAAATGCAGGCAGGGCGCAGGACAAAGCATTAGGGACAATATGTATGTGAAATTGGTTGAGACAGCAATGTTTTACTATGTAAAATGTAAAAAAAAAAAAATGACATTTTTTAAAATTTTTAAATTTCCCGCCGCCGGCGGCGACGGCGGCGCCCGTACGTCCCGACGTCACAGGGACAGGACACAGAAGCCGGATGCCGGCATCGGCCGGAGGAGATGGCCGGGGACGCTGCAGGGGACACATCGTGGGAGCGCAGGGTAAGGTAAGTGAAGAATACATGCCGGAGCAGTGCCGCAGGGTAAGCCCGAGTGTAGCTCGGGGTTACCGCTTTTGGTACTGAAATGTTACCCCGAGCTACACTCGGGAATACCGCCAAGGAGGTTAACCACTTCAAGTCCGGACACTTTCACCCCCTTCCAGTCCAGGCCAATTTTCAGCTTTCAGTGCTCACACACTATGAATGACAATTGCGCAGTCATGCAACACTGCACCCATATGAATTTTTTAACATTTTTTGAGAAAACTTTATTTTGGTGGTATTTATTCACCACTGGGATTTTTTATTTTTTCTTGCTTTATAAAAGAAAAAGTCCACAAATTTTGAAAATAAAGTGTTTTTCTTATACAATTTTGCAAATAAATAATCTTTCTTCATAAATCTTGGCCAAAATGTATTCGGCTATCTTTTTAGTAAAAAAAACAACCCAAATTAGTTTATAACCAAAAATTATAATTTTTCTAAATTTTTTTTTACATTTTTATTTTTTTTATATTATTATTTATGTTTTTTTTTTAACATACTGTCACCCTAGCACTACAGTGTCACCATAGCAACACTGTACTACTTGTGCGGGGTGATGAAGATTTTGTTTTCTTTTTTTACACTGATTGCTTTTACACCCATAAAGGCTGTAAAAGCAATAATTTCTCCTCTCTGGCTGCATTTTTGCAGCCATTGAGAAATACTGTGAGAGCTGTGATTGATCACAGCTTGTCACATGATCCAACAACCTTGTACCATGTGATATTTGTGATCATTCACAGATTTCACAAGTAGTAAGTAATGAAGTTAGGAAGTGACATCTTGTTTACTACTGTTCATGTGATCACTGATTGGCAAATTGGAAAATTAACCATGGGAAGTAGTTAAAGTAGGACTGAAGGAAAAACGTTTAAATTGTGGAAAGAGTAAGGGAGAGTTATAAACCCCTGCCAGGTTTTTATGTTGTCTATGTCACATTGAGAAGATTTCCCTTCAGTTCTTGTCCCATAGCAGCAATAGAAAGAGACAGAAAAAAGTAGTCATCAGGGTCACCAGAATAAGTGTCCTCATCTGAAAATTTTCCCTCATTTCCTTTTATGGTGACTGCTCAAAATTTGGGGTTTTCTTTTACTTTCACTTTCAGTGATAATGGTTACCAGAACAAATAGACAGGGCGAATCTCCCTAATGGGGGGGGGGGGGGGGCACAGACATCAATGGAAACCTAAGAAGGTTCAAAGGGATACATCTTAGAGGCACTGAGACTTTAATGTTTATTGACAGCGAGTAGTCAAGGGAAAGAAGACAATCAATTAAAAAGCTCACTGACTCTGGTTAGGTGGCTGAAATGCAACTGGGGCTACCCTCCAATGGGCACCCAAGAATGCTAATGTGCTAGAAAAATTTCATGCAAAAGTCCAAAACAGCTTTAACAATTAACTAAACAACCAATACATTTTGTAATATATGCCCCCCCCCCCCCCTTCCTCATGGCTTGTGGCTTAAATGGACACAGATGCCAGAGAAATGCTAAACTTACTGCTTGAATAGGAATCAAATATGGCAGAATTATGCCAGTGAAACAGGCAAAACAATTGTTTTCTGTAGCTGTTTCACTGGCATAATTCTCTCCCATTTGTTGTAGATGTTTCACTGGCATAATTCTGCTCCATCTGATTCCTTTGCAAGCAGTAAGTATAAGATTTTCCTGGCATCTGCTTTCCTTAGTCAATTTAAACACTTACTGAGCCCTAATAAAGGGGGGGGGGGGGGTTCTCTGGACGCGCTTTGGCTTTCTTATGAATTATTAAAGCT